TGGAGCAACAGGAGAGAGAGAGAGAGAGAGAGAGGAGGGAGGGGGGAGAGAGAGAGAAGTGGGGGGGAAAGAGGGGAGAGTAAGAGAGAGAGAGTAAAAGAGAGTAAGAGTAAGAGAAGGAACACGAGAGGGTATTGATATTTATGGGCTTAACACAGGATAAGGAGGAGCAAGGTGGGTGGGCTGTTACTTCTTCATTGGCTGAGAGTCACCACTTCGGGGATTGGAGGTATGCCATTCACAGGGATTGGATGTGACAGTTCGCGCGCCATTCAGTGCGTCATGGACCTGAGCTCCCAGAAGAGAAGCACTCCGGGCGCCATCTTTACCAACATCTTGAACAACATCTGACATTATTTGGCCTTCACGTAGGTTGGGCATCTCATTTATATATTTATTCCCATTAATCTAACATTATTGAAGCACTCCTCTTGAAGCCAATGGGACCAAAAGTAAAAATACAAATACAGATAACTGAAACCAAATGTCAGTACTTGATTATAAGACAGTTCATAAAGTGCTTACATTAAAATTTCTAGGTCATTGAACTGAGAACACAAAATTTCAAAATCTTTCTGGAGGCTCCTGTCCTGAAGATTTATACCTGTTGAACTACATTTCAGGCAAATTATACCTACCTGGCGGATGGCTGTTGCTCCTGGCCCAGCTAGCCCTTTCTATTGTTTCTCCTCTCAGTCTTCGAAGGAAGAAAAGTTGAGCCTATAACGGGTAATGACCATAGTGGATATAGGCACTGATGAGTCTCTGATGATTTCCAAATACTTTCTTTCTTTCTTTCTTTTTTTTTAGAATCATCCTTACTCCCTTCACATATTTCCACCTTTTCTTACCAAAGAAAGGGAAACTTCTTCAATGATTAATAACGATGTGTGATTTTTGTTTCACCCACAATACCCAGTACAGTGACAGCTTCCAATGAAGAGTTGATTAAGTCTTTTTTCAATTTGTACATATTCAAGGATTTAGTATTATTTGACAAAAAGAAAAAGAAGAGACTTATAAAACAATTGTCACCATAGAGAAGGACAGCTGAATACATTAAGAAGGCCTGACTTCCTTCTTGGTGTATAAAAGTAGGGCTAGCAAGACATGGAAGTATATTGGATACAAATCATCCTGCTCCATAAAAAAGAACATCTTATAAATTCCTTTTCCTTTCTATTGATTTTCATGAGAAATTATGGCCTGAGGACATGGAAGAGATTAGAGACATTGTCATTATTACCTATTCCTCTGAACACATGATAGGACTGTAGTTGTCCACATGGTCCTGAGACTTGTTGTGACCAATGGAATGTGAGCAGAAGTGTCATGTACCATTTCTAAGGGTGAACCATTAAGAGCTGGTATCAGATTTATCATATTTCCTTCTCTCTACCCTTGTGCCAACAATAATAGTCAAAGATGGCTCCATCAATCTGTGTCCATGAATGAAAATGATGGGAATTGAAGCTTCCGAGTAATCCAAAATGGACATGTAGCTTGACAGATACACTTTCACTGTTAGAAAAATAGAAGATTTGGGGCATGACCTTGATCTTGTTGATTTTATAGGAGCCAAATCCTGAAATGATCGTTTTGCTTCTGATTAGGCAAAATATTCAGAAAATAGGTTCATTAGCACAAGATGGATGCTATTTTAGTAACAATAACTAAGATCATAGAGTGCTTGACAACTGTTGAAAGTACTAAGACATAGATTATTTCCTCCCTTGTGTTCTTATGGGTAGTCAGATCACTTTTTCTCTGGTCCATATCAACTCCTTCTGGTTAGAATCAGCTGTTCTTGGTGACCCTTCCCACTTTAAATACATCTCTAGTCTACCCCCTAGCAAAATGCACTTTAATTTTAAAATGTTACATCTTCGGCCTTGTGTGGTGGCACACATCTGTAATCCCAGGGATTTGAGAGGCTGAGGCAAGAGGATCACAAGTTTGAGACTAGCCTCAGTAAATCAGTGAAGTCCTAAGCAACTTAGTGAAACACTGTCTCAAAATGAAAAAAATAAAAAGGGCTAGCCATTTAATGGTAAAACAACCTGGTTAAATCTCCAATATCAAAAAAAAAATTAAATATATATATATACACATTGTCTTCACAGTAAACCATCTTATTCACTTTTGTTTATCTGCTTTCCAACATCTGTGTTCCATTGTTTGAAACATCATAAGTGCTTCATAGAATATGCTCATTTGAAGAAACTGAGAATTAAGTTTGGGGTAAGTCCAAGGCTACGAGTTATTAAGTACTTATGAGGACTCAATCCAAAGACTTTCGACATTCCATTCAGTGACATGAGTACCATTTAAATGGGTACTGAGAAAGAGAAAGTGGCTCTGAAAGCCAGGTTTGGAACTATCATCTGAGTCTGAGTTGCTGTGAGTTTTTCTAGACCCCAGTGTTCTGTTGACTAAAAGAACACCCATACCAGACAAGGCCATTCTGGACCAGGAGCAAGACAAAAATAAGATCACTTCATAGTGATCTTAAGACAAAACTTGAACATTGCCTAAGCCACAAAAAATGACAAATATTCATGACTGGGGCTTTCTTTATCAATTATGGCTTTAGCTTCCATCTGATTTTGACTCCTAGATAAGATTCATTAAGATACTAATCAAAGAGTGGTTACCTCCAGACAGAAACCACTGAAGAGGAAAACCTTGTTTTTGTTCTTGAACAGTTTCCTGACTCAAGAATAGGAGCCCCTAGTAAATCCTAACACCTTCTTACTGAGTTGCCCCAGGGCTCCTTACCTATGGATTCCTCCTTCCTTAAGAAGGAACAGTTTGAGGACACTGATGCTCCAGTTTCAGTGGCCCTGCTGTGTGTATATGTTGAAGTTTTTTTTTTTTTTTTTTTTTTAAGAGAGAGTGAGAGAGAGAGGGACAGAGAGAGAGAGAGAATTTTAACATTTTTCTTTATTTTTTCTTAGTTCTCCGCGGACACATCTTCATTTGTATGTGGTGCTGAGGATCGAACCGGGCCGCACACATGCTAGGCCGCACACATGCTAGGCGAGCGCGCTACCGCTTGAGCCACATCCCCAGCCACATGTTGAAGTTTTAATTACAACTCTATAAGACTTCTGATCCTTGCTTGACAAATAACGAAATGAGGGTTTTAGAGATCTATTTTTTTTTCCCAAGGCCACCATCAATAGGAAAAGCCAGCGATCACACTGCAAAGCAGGTCTAACTTTGTGCCAGGAGCACTCTTTCCTGTACTCTCCACCCGCACTCCCTATCTGGTTCTCCTCTACAGGCTTCTTCTTTCTGCCCGCACTTGCCCAGCCGACGGGTATACTACAGTGAACTGCAGCCCAAACGTGTCCCTCTGCAACAGATCTTCTGTGCGCTGCTGTAAACACGATATTCGGACTTCGAAATGCTTTGCGTTGCGGAACAGTTGCGCGCGCCCACCAGCAGCATCTGGGCACCCGGGCTCCACAGGGCTTCACCTTCGGCCTGAAGGGGCGGGAACACGAGAGTGACATGACAGCAAGGCGCACCAATCCCCGCGGGGGCGCCGGCCGCAGAGCCCAATCGCAGGACAGCCGGGTCGTACAGTGACAGCGCAGACAGCCGCCCGCCCGGCCTCCTCCGTGGGCCCCGAAGCTTCGCGGGCCGCAGCTGAGTCACTGCCAAGAGCGGGCCCGGCGGGTGGCGGACAGGCTGGTCAGAGCCAGGAAGAGCAGCAGCCGCCGGCGCCTCCGGGAGCTGGCTGAGAGCAAGTCCGCAGGCCCGAGGAGGAGCCGGGGGCAGCGCAGGGACTGTCGCGGGTGTCATTCTGGACGCAGGAAGTACGCTTGTCTTGGTTTGCTTTAAAATAGGGTTCGTGTTTCCCCGACAGGCGAACTTCATCCCCTGCCCCCCCACTACAGCGCCGGCTGCGCAGCCCCGGCCCTCTCCCCAGCACCCGGGCTGAGTGGCCCTCGCAGCCGCCAGTGCCCCAGCGCTGGGAGCTGCCCTAGAGCCCCGCAGGCGCTGCGCCAGCGCGGGGCATCAGGAGTCTGACCCCGAAAATGCCGGACCTCCTAGCCTGGCAGACAGACTGATTGCGGGGTGAGTTACAGAAAGGAAAAAGAAAAACCCCTTCCGATTAAGAGTTTTGCTTTTCAGACTCCTTCCCTGCCCATTAATACGCAGCAAAATGACAACAACAGTTGCGTAACTGCAGTATCCTAAGGAAACTCCTTTGTTTACCTTATGAAAACCAGCTGGTGGGATGCAGTCTGACCACTGACTCACCACCAGCGGGGAGAACTGGGTAAGATCATCACAGAGAATCTTCTCCAGGGCGGCTTGAGCGTTAAAGCGTCCCACTCTGGAACACCGAAAAGAGTGACGATCCCAGCTGAGTACTCCCAAGTAAAAGTGATTCTCCTAGGAAGGGCTCACTGCTTTTCTGTTCTCTAGTTTTCTTGTGTGATATTTACTCCAAAAATGTTTTCTAGCTTCCCCATCTTTGAAAAATTAGGCTCTGAGATAAGAATGCAACTGGTTACCTCTGTCTCTCTCTCTTTTTTTTTTTTCCTATTAGAATTCAGCCACCTACCCAAACAATATGAAGATTTCCTACGTTGAACCTGCCATTCTTCTTAACTCCTTTGCTCTGTCTTTGATCTCTCCACTGACAACACAATACCTGTATAGGAGAATATGGGAAGAAACAAGCAACTACAGCTTTGCCCTTGATAACAATATTTCTGAGTGTGACAAAAACAAAAGCAGCCCAATTTTTGCAGTCCAGAAGGTAAGAAATTAAAATATCCCTAAAATGTAATTAAAGAGGGTATGACACTTATGCTTTGGCCTCTCAAGAATGACTATCAAAGTCCCAAATTGCAGACCAATAGCATTCACTGGGCTCTCATCTCATTTGACATTTCCCAACATCTGTAATCTGCCTTTTTTTGTTGCTTTTGTACTGGGGATTGAACTCAGGGCTCTCAACCACTGTGCTACATCTCCAACCCTATTTTGTATTTTATTTAGAGACAGGGTCTCACAGAGTTGCTTAGCACCTCAATGTTGTGAAGGCTGGCTTTGAATTTGGGATCCTCCTGTCTCAGCCTCCAAGCCACTGGGATTACAGGCATGTGCCACAGTGCCCAGCTATAATCTGCCTTTTCTTCTTCTTCTTCTTCTTTTTTTTTTTTTTTTTTTGAGGGAGGGCGATATGGGGGGTCTTGCTTAGTTGCCAAGGTTAACCCAGAGCTCACCATGTTCCTGCCTCAGTCTCCCAAATAGCTGGGATTATAGGCATATGCCATCACAACTGGCAGTCTGCCTTTTCTTGAAACCTACTTCTTGTGAGACGCTAGCTCTTGTTTCTCTTAGAAAATCTCAGCACAGTCTGAGATCTCTGCCCCCCAAAAAAATAATTTAAAAAAATAGTCTGAAAAATTTGACCAAGGCCTGCTGAGATGAGCTACTCGGTGGACATACCTCTCCCTTGTCCCCTTCCTCCCAGCACCCTTCTACTGCACCTGCATGTCACAGTTTTTAGGGACTCCAGAAAGTGATCCATCACTGTAAACTGGCCAGGGGTCTGTCATGGGGTAGAAGTGGGGCAGCACATGTCACTTGTCATCTGGTAGCATTAAGAAATCAGCCTTGACTCCCATATGTTGAAATGTGAGGACATCTGAGTGAGGAGTGCTCACTTTTGCTCTCTGGACACTGAAAACATTCAGCTAGACGTAATGGGGCCTTCCCACCTCCCTTACTTTGTATTTGTTTACAACAGGAGGTTCTTTACCACCCTCCTGAGCCTTTAGATATTTTTGGACAAAAGTCTACTGATGTCCAAATGCAAAAGAAGTGGCTGTCAGATGTGGAAATGCTTTCCTCTATAATGCCTCAAAAATAAACCATGCGTATAAATTCAGAACTCTTCCTCTTGGGGATTTTCTGTGATGGCAAGAATGGCGCTGCCACTCACAGAAGAGTTTAAGGAAATGGAGTTGCCTCCCCTGGCTCTGAGAGTCTGCCTGTGAAAGGAGTCTGAGGAGAGGAAGTGGCAGAGAGCCCTAGAAGGGCTCATGCCCACCCCGTGCCCCCCCAGGTGTCTGGTGGAAGCTAGCTGGGGCAAGGCCCAGGTGTTTGGCTCAGTCCCTGATTTTACTCATTTCCTTATTTCCATTTTCCTGAAACTGCTGAATTCTAGGCAGCTGTGCACACAGCAAGGTTCTGGCCTAGAGTAAGGTTGTAATGAGAGAAGGGCCAAGGGCCTCACTGAGCATTTTTTGTCCCTTCCAGGATGTCTCATTATACATCCTTCCCTTGAGCAAGAAGGCTCCATGGGATCATCATTCCTGTGTTTGGTTCTGTGTTTTCCTTCACCTGGCCCCTGGGAGCAGGCCCCCTTGTTCCTGTGGGAGGGCCCTGGGCAGAGAGGACCTGAATATCTGCTGCAACTGCACTCCTGGACTCAGGGAAGACTGGCCTTGGTCCAGCCATCTTGGTGGCTTCTGTGGCTAAGCAGGTAAAAAGTGCTAGTCCCCACCTCCAGCCTGGTCCAGCTGCTGAGAGCCTAGAGCAGTGGCCTCATTTAGAAGATTTTGGCCCAACTTTCAAACTGATTTGTTTTCATTTTTTATTTATTTATTTATTTATTTATTTATTTATTTATTTATTTATTTTGTTTTGGGTCTGGGGATTGAACTCAGGGGCACTCAACCACTGAGCCACATCCCCAGACCTATTTTGAATTTTATTAAGAGACAGGGTCTCAGTTGCTTAGCACCTCACTATCGCTGAGTCTGGCTTTGAACTAGCAATCCTCCTGCCTCAGCCTCCCAAGCTGCTGAGATTATAGGTGTGTGCCACCATGCCCAGCTCATGTATTTTTAATTGAATTTATTCTCAAGAGAACATACTACTCTTGATCCCTTCTCTTAAAGATGGTATTCATAGACCCCTGATGCTTTTCCTCGGAGTGGGGAACTGAAAAACCACCTACTCCCCCACTCTGCTACTCCTAGCTATGACAGAGACAGAGAGTGCTGGGAGACACGTCATTTACAAAGGAACATGTTTGTAAAGAAACCACCATCACCTTCAGCACTTCCTTTGGGCCCCTTTTCAGGATCCTATCCCTGCTGTGCTCAGAGAATGCCCTCTCCCTCTAAATCCAAGAGCAAATGTGTCCTGTTCTCTCAACTTACCTCTCTACTATCCAGCTCGGCTGGTCAGGCACTGGTTATTCCAAGTTTAGGGCTTGGCAAACTGTTTTTAAAACTATAAGGATAAGAGATGTCACAGCATGGGGTGAGTCCCTAATAAAATAAACAGATCAATCACTTTTTCAGCTCAAATTTTTATTTTGTCTTCCTCCCCAAAAGATCAATTGTGTGTAAAAGGACAGTGAAAATTATGATAATGGACTCTTTACTGCTGTGCCATATTCATTTATCCTTCCTACATAACCAGTATGCACACATGCCTAGGTATTAGCATGCAAGGTACTATTATAAATTTCAGGGTATAGATAGAAGAATAAACCGAGCTCTCGCACTTTGCATTTGACATTTTGATAGTTTATATGAGTGAAAGTCTTATTTTTCAACTCATTTTGTATTAATACATGCACATACATGTATATCTACAAACACACACTCATAGAAATAACATTATATTGATGGAACCTATTTTTCAAATCTTAAAGTATTCTGAGCCCTCTGACTGGAAGGGACACCTATATATTTCTCTTCAGCAAAGGGGTTAATCTCAGAAGGACCTTTAACAAAAAGGCAAGGCTGTGGCAGGGTACTTTGCTTAGGGAACAAAGAGTGAAGGAATTCTGGGCATATTTGTTGATTTTTGTGAGGAAGGAATTTTTAACTTCCTTACCATTCCTTCCTTCTCTTGTTAAATTTGTTTCAAAGGAATAAATTGGCGACTGAATCTGTTCTGTTTAGACAGCTTTGAGACAGGGACTCTGCTACTGGAGAGGAGAAATGCAACAGATCATCAAGTTGTTCTTGCTCAGGAATTTGTAAGCCTTTTGATAACCAACACAATCCCTTGTTACTTACTCCTACTTAGGAAAATGACATGGAATATTTTCTATTCAACTGGAATTCACTTACACATTTTACCCTATGAAATTTTAACTTCTTTAACATAGATTTACTGCTTTCCTTCATTTATTCTTTTTTTTAAGAGAGAGAATTTTTTAATATTTATTTTTTAGTTTTTGGTGGACACAACATCTTTATTTTATTTTTATGTGGTGCTGAGGATCGAACCCAGAGCCCCGCGCATGCCAGGCAAGCACGTTATTGCTTAAGCCACATCCCCAGCCCTTCATTTATTCTTTCCTTAGGACATTGTCATTCTGTGCAATCTTGGATAGAAAATAGCATTTTTTAAACTTCTCCTATCTACTCTTATGTGATATGTTAACTATCTTCCTCCAGAGTTTAAACACACGCACACGTGTTTACACCCACACGCACAATTTTTTTCTTATGTTTCTTTTTTTTTTGTGGTATCACTGTTGTGACTGACATTTTATTTTATTTTTATTGTTGGTTGTTCAAAACATTACATAGTTCTTGATATATCATATTTCACAGTTTGATTCAAGTGGGTTATGAACTCCCATTTTTACCCCGTATACAGATTGCAGAATCACATCAGTTACACTTCCATTGATTTACACATATGATTTATGGTGGAATATGCTTCGAGCTTGTCCTTGTTAAAATCTGTATTTTAAAATTCAGGTTTCAGATGAGGAAGTAGTCTGTGTACAAGACTGGGTTAGGAATGGTAATAAAAAGAGGAAGACAGAACCTGGGTGGTGGGATAGAAATGGGGAGGAGGAAACCAAAACTAGAACATCTGGTTTAGAAGCTGATTATAAGGTAACTTTTACTTATTTATTCAATAAATATTTACTTGATGGCACTGTATCTGTAAGAGATACAAAGATGTGCTCAGGATGTTTTATCCAGAAAAAGGAAACAGGTCAAATTGATTGAGCACTAACTGTGCTAGGGCCTTATTTATTTTATTTTTTAATTTATTTGTCCTAGTCAATTATACATGACAGCAGAATGTTCTTCGATTCATTGTACACAAATGGAGCACAAGTTTTCACTTCTCTGGTTGTAAGCAAAGTAGGGTCACACCACTCATGCAATCATACATGTACTAGGTAATGACGTCAGTCTCATCCCACCATCTTTCCTACCCCCATGCCCCCTCCCCTCCCCTCTTTGTTTATTTTTATAAGTATAGCATCTTATGTTTATTTTAAATGTAACCCTACCAATAGCCTGTGAAGTAGAGACATCATTCTTATCTGTCAGATGAAGAAGCTATGGAGATAAATAATTTGGTCAGATCCCGCACACCTAGCAGCTTACAATGTCCTTATTACATGACCATTCATTCATTATCTACTGAGTACCTGCCCACCTGCCCTGTCCTTGGAGCTGGTGGTACTGTGGTGAAGAAGACTCAGTTCCTGTCCTCCTTTAGGTTATTCTTCTTGTAAGGGAGGAAACATCTGATAATTTTGTAATTCATTAATCATTTAGGCTATTTTCTGTATAGCACATGAATAAATCTTTTGTTTTTAATGAGCTTAATATTACTCATTATAAAAATGGCACATACTCCAAATTTTAAATTTGGAAAATACAGATAAATGGCTAATAGAAAGTGTTTTTATATCTCCCCAAATTCTTTCCATCAAATGACTAGTATGTCAGTCATCACAACTCCCAGTCTCAGTGTGTATGTACTCATCTATTGTCACCATTTTGGTCGTTGGAGGTTGAGTTTATGGCTAGCTATCATCTTTAGTTAATGTAAGTCCCCTTTATGGGATTTACCTTTTTAGTTTTAATATAGTAAATAAAAGAATAAGGTTCTCACTAATATATTTGTGGAAATAGAAGTCAAAAGGGTAACAGAGCTCTTCCTAAATAAAGGCCTGTCAAATATGGCATCCATATGAGTTATTCACTCTCCTTTAGTGGGGACAGCAAGACCTATCACAGGAAAGGGTGTCATTGTTGCTTTGGAATAGTAGCCATGATCTCTCAGTGTGAACTCTTCATAGAAGGAAGAAAACTCATACTATGGCTAACATCAGAGGCCTAGTAGTGTATAGGTCTTTCTTGCAAGAGACACACACCAGTACACACATTTTTTTTTTCATGGATTCAGGTGGCCACTTGAATATCATGACTGTGAATGCTTATCACCTTTTGACACCTGCTTTGTGAACTGAATGAAGATTTAAGCTATGTCAGATCCCCACCATGGACCAGATTCCCCACCCATGACTGATCCTGACCGGCAATGTCAAGAAAAATATGCATCATGATATTTTTATGCGCATTGTATAAATTCACTGTCTTCTTTTTCTTTGCAGGAAGTTCAGGAAAAAGTGTCTTTATTTAGCCTACAGATGGAGATAAGTGGTTTAATTCCTGGCCTGTTATCTACGTTCATTCTTCTATCTAGTAGTGATCGCCACGGGCGAAAATTCCCCATGATTTTATCTTCCGTTGGTTCTCTTGCAACCAGCATTTGGCTCTATTTGCTTTCCTACTTTGCCTTTCCATTCCAACTTTTGATTGCATCTACCTTCATTGGTGCATTTTGTGGCAATTATACAACATTTTATGGAGCTTGCTTTGCCTATATAGTTGATCAGTGTAAAGAATCCAAACAAAAAACAATTCGAATAGCTATAATTGATTTTATGCTTGGACTCGTTACTGGACTAACAGGACTGTCATCTGGCTATTTTATTAGAGAACTAGGTTTTGTATGGTCATTTTTAATTATTGCTATAGTTCTTACTGTTAACTTGACATATATTTTATTTTTACTTGATAATCCAATGAAAGAGTCTTCAACTCAGAATGTTACCATATCATGTAGTGAAGGCTTTAAAGACCTATTTTACCGAACTTACATACTTTTTAAAAATGCTTCTGGTAAGCAACGGCTTTTGCTCTGTTTGTTACTTTTTACAATGATCACTTTTTTCTTCGTAATAAGTGGCATTTCCCCAGTTTTTATCCTTTATGAATTGGGTCCCCCACTCTGCTGGAATGAAATTTTTATAGGTTATGGATCAGCTTTGAGTAGTATCTCCTTTTTTAGTAGCTTCCTAGGAATTTGGCTTTTTTCTTATTGCATGGAAGATATTCATATGGCCGTCATTGGAATTTTTACCACCATAGCAGGAATGGCCACAGCTGCTTTTGCTAGAACTACACTGATGATGTTTTTAGGTGAGTTACAAATGCAGCCTTGGAACTAACTGTGTATTTGATTTTATATGAAATGAATTAAGTCTGATGGGACAGAACCTTTAATATAAAGCTCTCTATTCAACCCATTCCAGTTGTCTTAAAGTTAAAAAGCTAGATTGCCAGAAGCAAATAAGATGAAAGCAAAATCTACGGGGGGTGGTGGGGAGTATTCCCTGAATTGACCACAATTTTCCAAATTTACATGTCTGCCAAAAAAAAATGTTTTGGGAGATATTCTTTATATGAATGAGTTCTTCAATATAGCTTTCACCCATAGCCAGTTTACCAAAGTGAACATTTTTTAAAATGCTGCTAAGAAGGCTATTTCCCATAAAAATATTTAGAACAATTATATAAAGTGTATCTACTTGATTTATAAGAAAATTCATATTTGTTGAATATATTCAAGAAGAAATTCTTTCCCCCCCAAGTATTCTGACATTTGTCTTATGCTATTTTAAAAAATATTCTGATGTGCTCCACCGAATTAATTTTACCATCCAATAATACATTGCAACCAGAATAGAAATTACTGTTATAAATTTTATACAAAATCAGAAATCACAAATTTTGCTTCCAAAGAGATGAAGGAGGCAAGAAGTACTTGGGGTTTGCTCTGAGGGTCCCTTCTCCCTCAATACCAAAAAAATAGCTTCACATTCTTCAAAAGGAAAGTGTTTTAGGGGAGGTTTTTGGAAATCGACCTACTGGTCATTTCATGAATTGACTTGTGATGAATTGCTATTCAGCACACTGAACTGCTTGCTTAATTACATGCCTCAAAACTATTTTTATAGGGTTTGGGTGAGATCCTGCATTGGAAAGGGCTATGGGAACTGGGAAGCAGCACTTTGAGAAAGGCTAAATTTAGTCTTTTTTACAAAGGAAGTGTTAACCTCCTACTACCTAGTATAGAAGTAGTGTGACCAAAGAGAAATGGCCTTAATTTCCACCAACAGCCCTAAGTGACCTTCAGCAAGTTACTTAACTCCTTTGAGCCTCATTTTCTCATTTGCAAAATGCGCATGATAATGCCTCATTCAGAGGAATATAATGAATATTAGTAACTACAAAACACTTCACACAATGCCCACTATTCAATAAATGCCAGTTTTCCTCTGTCTCACTAACTGCCAAGGCCATGTAAGTTGATATATGAGAAAACACTTTGAAAACCTCAAAGCAATCTGCAAATATATCATGACATATTTTAAAAGGCTATTGATGGTTAAGGATCATAATTTAAGAACAGAGGCCATTTGTATTTATGAAGTTATTTTGACACAAAGGACGAGCTAGCAAGATGATAAGGAGCCAGTTTACCAATAAATGAATCTGTGCAGTAAAGGAATGCTAACTAACACTGTATTAAGTCTGAAAAGGAACAACAAACAAACAGACAAAAACTAGCTGTCACAACTTGCTAAACAAGAAGTGTATAAGAAGAAGCTGCTCAGCCTCCATTGGTAGATTATAGATCTGGACCTAAAACTTACATGTTTAGACTGAGAATGTTTCCCATGTACAGTTACCAAAAGTGTTCTAATCCAGTCATTTCTCCCATAGTCCGGGTGCCATTCCTTTTCACTATTATGCCACTCTCTGCCCTGCGATCCATGTTGTCAAAAGTAGTCCGTCCTACTGAACAAGGTGAGTTTAAGTCATTTAAAGAATGTAATGAATGTATCAACAGAATGTACAATAGAATTTGATGCTTTGATAACCCTTTTCTGCCCAGATCCTTTGAATTAAGTGGTAAGCTATGTCAGGAAGAGGTTTACACTCAGGTAAAAGAGCCCCTTCCTAAGGCCCTTGTTTTAGAGAGTGGCTCTGGCCTTTCCTCTGGCTGTGCCCTAATCCAAGAGGAGACCTAAGGGTCAAGTGGATATGTCCACTGAGAGTCCAAAACACCTCTGCTCCTTCTATACTGTACTTTGGCTACCCGAGTCTCCATAATTTCTATCCATACAACTCTGAGCTCATGCCCAGTAAGTGTCTGCCTGATCCTCTTCCATGGATATACCCCCACGTGCTCTCCTCTAGACCAGAGAATCCAATGGTGACTTCATAGGAAGGTCTGACCAAAACTTGGAATCATAGAACAAGCGTGTTGACACCCATGTGTAGTTGATCCTTCCTAAGCAAGATGGATCAAGGAGTAGAACAGAATGGGGGTGGGCTGCAGGCTGGGGACAGAGGGCCAAGGGCCAACTCTACCATGCTGTCTTGTTCCTACATGGAATTCTAAAAAGTTCTAAGAATTCTGCATTTGTGCCAGGCCTTCCAGATCATTACAGAGATATGTTTTCCACAGTAGAGAAACACGATATATTTTTTAATTAATGGTTCTTTAGCCAGATTGGTAACTTAAATACAGTTGTCTCTCAATATCTGAGGGAGATTGATTCCAGGACCCCTTACAAACACCAAAATCCACAGATGACCAAGTCCCTTAAGTAATACTATATATTATATGCACATAACCTGCACATGTCCTCCTGTGTACTTTAAATCATCTCTAGATGGCTTACAATACATAACACAATGGAAATGCTATGTAAATAGTAGTTATACTACATTGCTCAGGAAATAATGACAAGAAAATGATGTCTGTACATGTTTAGTAGAAAAATAACCAACAAATGCCTAACTATATTTTTTTATGTACGATGGGTTGAATCTTTGGATGTGGAAGCTGTGGATATAGAGGGCTGGCTGTACTTAGACTATATATGTAGACTTCAAATTATATCCTTACTCGGGACCCAAATCAGAATCCTACAGCAAACAGGATCCCACTCAACTAGTTTAAATCAGAGACTTCCAGGAATGATGGTATAGGCACTGTGGAGGTGCCCAAAATAGGGAAGAAAGAGAGAAAACACACTATAGCCTTGTTCTCCTCCTTCATACCTTTGACATAGCACAATAGAAATTGGACCAAGAAGGATGTCCTAGTCATGTCATATGAGGGTCAGCCTCCCAAGTATAGATCAGGGAACAGGGGCCGAATGGTTGAAAGGGCAGACAGAGAATAACCAGCACAGAAAGAAGACAAGAGTTAAATTTATAATTATAACTAGTAGATATTAGCATATGAGGTTGTCCTCCTGTCCTTCTGTATCATATGAATATTATTAGACATAGGTACTTTCTTTTGTATCATATCAGTCTGGTTCTTATTTGATTATTTATGGAAAATTCCTAAGTGTGCTTTTGTATTTATGCTGGTTTAGTCAACACCAAGGAAAGCTGCATAATTCAATAACTTGAAAATATATTTCTTGATTCTTTTCCACTCATAAGCTGTAGCTGTATAGTCAAACAGCTGTTTATAGACCACGTGATGATGGTTACCTTGAGAACCACTTAGGAATATAAAAATTGTTATTATACTATGTAAAAATCTACCTGCTTCCTTGGATTATGCATTGGTTTCTTAGATATGACACTAAAAGCACAACAAAAGAAGAATATAAGTACATTAGACTTCAGTAAAGACTTCATTCAAAATCTCTGTGCTTCAAAGAACACTATGAAGGAAATGAAAAGGCAGGCACAGAGAAGATTTGCAAATCTATGTCTGATAAGGAACTTGTATTCATCGAAGGTAAGAATGCTTAAAACTCGATAACAAAAAGACAAACAATGCAATTAAAAATGGATATAGGATCTGAGTGGACATTTCTCCAAAGAAGATAGGTCAATAAGCAAATGAAAAAAAAGTAGGATATCACTAACCATCAAAGAAATGCAAATCAAACCCACAATAAGGCACACTTGGATAGCCAAAGTAAAAAAGATCATAACAAGTATGAGTGAGGAAGTTGAGAAAGCGGAACCTTCATCCACTGCTACTGGGAATATAAATTGGTACAGCCACTTTTGCAAAACAGTTTGGTAGTTCCTCAGAAAGTTAGTTACCTTATGACCCAGCAACACCACCCCCAAGTATATACCAAGAGAAATGAAAACACATGTCCAAACAAAATAGAAGTATTATTCATGATAGCCAAACAGTGGACACAATGTAAATGGATATAGTATATCTGCCAATAAAAAGAATTAATGTTCTGAAACATACTATAATGTCATGAGCGAACTATGAAATCATTATGCTAAATGAAAGAAGCTAGTCACAAAAGGCCACACATTATTGTACAAATATGACTCAGTTTACAAGAAGTATCCAGAATGGGCAAATTCATAGAGACACAGAAATTAGATTGAGGTTTGCCAGGAGCTGGGGAGAAGGGAAGTAATTGCTATTGGGCATAGATTTTCTTTTGGGGGAGATGAAAATATTCCACATGTAGAAAATAGTAATGGTCTCACAACTCTGAATATACTAAATAATATACTAAATATATAGTACTAAATACTGAATTTTGCACTTTAAAAGAGTGATCTTCATGGTATATCAATTATATTTCAGTAAAGCTGTTAAGAAAAAATGTTTACATGCATTGACTTAAAGATAAAATGAACTTGTCAAAATGTATGTTTTTGTTCATATTTGATAAAGTTTATAAAGGCTTTTAAAAAATCACTTCATTATTAACTATAATAACATTGAAAGATGCTTAGTTTGCATTTGGCATTTCTTATTCAAAATTGTAATAACTTTGTGAATTATGGCTCCATTATTCTAGGATAGTGTAATTACTCTTTTCCTTACTATAAATTAAGAAGTACTTTGGACAGTGTTAAAATTTCTATAACTAAATGTATTATCTCTTGTTATTTTTTTAAAATAACCATTTTGTGAAAATATTATATATTTTATAATAATCAGAGGAAGGGGAAATACTGAGAGGCTTTCAGATGCCCTCACTCTCTCTTATATTAAATGAGAAAGGGGAGGAGCAGAGGTGGAGCTCAGTGGTTCAGCATGTGCTTAGTCTGTAAGAGGCTCTGGGTTCAATCTCCAGCACCAAAAAAACAGCAATGACAACAAAAAGAAGGTGAAAAAATGGGGTAATTATTTTAAGCTCTCTGTGCTAGGTGGGCACCATCACACACACCTGTAACTTCAGTGACTCTGGAGGCTGAGGCAGGAGGATCTTAAGTTCAAAGTCAGCCTCAGCAACTTAGGGAGGCCCTCAGCAACTTAGTGAGACCCTATCTCAAAATAAAAAAAAAAAATGTAAAAAGGGCTGGGAACTTAGCTCAATGATAAAGCACCTCTGGGCTCAATCCCAGTTAGGAAAAAAAAAAATCTTTGTGTGCTATACAGATGTGAAATTCATACTTCAAGCCATCTTGGACTAGCTATTTTGCCTTTGTATCACTCATGAACTCCTTGTGATTATAAGATTATAAATTGAAACACAATAAGACAGGCTTGATCTTTTGAGTTCTGTTGGATTAAAAAAAAACAACTTTAGAATGTAAACTCCAGTGTCCTTACTGAATCCTACTGATCTCTGCAACTACTAAACAAGTTGAACTGCTCAGAAACATTCAGCAACAAGCTAGAGCTACTTCATAATAGTATGTGTATCAGACAGATAGTGCCCTGTCTGACCTGCTTCCCATGAAGAATGGATTAACGCCCTTACATAATAGAACTAGCCCTGAGAAGTCTGCATTCCAGAGCACAGCATTATTCTTGGCTATAGCAAGAGATCACAAATAAAGAAAATAATATTGTAGTTGGGCAAGTAGGAGAACTCCTTTCCAATTAAACTGACTTAGCATATTATCATAAATCCTGGAGGCAATAAATCTATATGCTACTTGATGACTGATAATTGGAGTCCTGAATTAAGCTTTTATTCATTTACTAGACAAATATTTATTAAATATCTACCATCACCAGGACAGCTGGGCCCTGGGGACATAGGAGCAACCAAGAAATGCACTTTGCATTGACAGAGCTTTCATTATAGCCAAAAGAAGATATATAAATGACTACATATTATTTTGTCGAGATAGATTTATGTTCTATAAGTGCATATCCTATTGTTTAATGAAGAACTTGAAGAATGTATTAGCTTGTGTCTAACAGAGTGGAAAGGTTTAAATAGAAAATCAGTATATAGTCTAAAAGACCCTGGGGATAATTAGATGATAAAGTCTACAGAAAGCAGAAACCATATAGGAACATAGACTGAGCATAGTCATGTCTGTCTGACATGCTCACAAAATTTAGTACCTAGTGATGCCAAATATAACAAAGAAAGAAAGCACATCAAAACAACTCGCCTATCTTTGGAGGTTTAACTCTTCACTCAGTATAGTCTTGGATTCTAACTATGGCAAAAGTTGGTTGAATCATGTGCATTTCTCTCAGATTATGAGCTTGGACTGCCCACGCACTTATTTTATGAACACATCTACCTACAGTGGAACTCAGCTACTTTGTTTTCAACATCTTTCATACTGACTCCTAGGAGAGATGTTTGTCTGAACTTTTTCATCTGTGAAATGGGTCACTGACTTCTCAGGAATTTTGAAGGAACAGATTTCATTCACCATCAGTGTCCCCCTGTTTACAGTTTTCAATGAATAACAATTTTTCTTCATCAGCTTTTCTTTCTTGTTTTGTAATCTGGTCTTTTCTGCCCCCTCTCCCACACCCCTGTACCCCACACAGGTACCCTGTTTGCTTGTATCGCTTTCTTAGAAACACTTGGTGGAGTCACTGCGGTTTCTGCTTTTAATGGAATTTATTCAGCCACAGTTGCTTGGTACCCCGGCTTCACTTTCCTGCTATCTGCTGGCCTGTTGTTCATTCCAGTGATCAGTCTATGGTATGTGATTATTATTTTTAATCATTTTATCAAAGGGCATCTGAATTAAGTGGTAAAGCGCCCCTAGGTTTAATCCCTAACATCAAATAAATGAATAAACAATTTATTAATTTAGCCCCTAAGAATAGAGATTTATATTTTTTTTAAAGATAGATAGAGAGAGAGAGAGAGAGAGAGAGAGAGAGAGAGAGAATTTTTAATATTTATTTTTTAGTTTTCAGTGGACACAACATCTTTGTTTGTATGTGGTGCTGAGTATCGAACCCGGGCCGCACACATGCCAGGCAAGCGCACTACCACTTGAGCCACATCCCCAGCCCGAGATTTATATTTAATCTAAGAATTTCCCTCAATGGTCAAAGATTGCTGTCTTAAGATTGACTTTAATATGGATTCTTGAATAAGTGAGAAAAGCAGAGAGAATTGAGCTAAATATTGAGAGCTCTCTTTCCTGAGCTTATTTAGTAACTCCCTTTTAAATTGTAAACATTCAAAAATAAATAAATAAAATGTAAACATTCAAATAATACAAAGCACAAAATTCTGTTCATAAATAATACATATTAGAGCTGTGGTTGTGGCTCAGTGGCAGACACTTGCCTAGCACATGTAAGACGCTGGGTTCGATCCTCAGCACCACATATAAACAAATAAATAAATGTTCATCAACAACTAAAAATATATATATGTTTTTAAAAATATTTTTAGTTGTAGATAGACACAATACCTTTATTTTATTTATTTATTTATATGTGGTACCGAAATCAAACCCAGTGTCTCAAATGTGCTATGCAAGCACTCTGCCACTGAGTCACAACCCCAGCCTTAAAAATATTTTTAAAGACATTAATTCTTTAAAAAAAGTACACAAATTAAAGAGATCAGACATAAACATAGAAGAAATACTTATTTCTTCCTGTTTCTCAATAAACAAAAAAATGTTAGCTAACCAGATAAGTGGTCACAAAATCACCCAAGTAAATATATATCCATAGCAGTGATCTAAAAGGGCATTAACCTGCCTCTGCAGAGCTTTGTCCATTTCACATGGCTGCATAGCATCGTGACAGGAATCCAGGGACAGGGGTCACAAGAAGCCAGGCCTTCTCTGCTTCTCCTAAGCACTTTGGGGTCAGGCTGTGAGTAAGGGAGAAAGCTACCTCCAAGCAGTAGCCTTAGGCATTCTGCCCGGACTGAGAACTCCATGAAGGGCTGGCCCACGTTTTCATAGTAGGCACTTGATAGATACTGTCTCAGCTGAATTCTGCTACCTAGATCTGTATCAGATGGGGTATGGTAGGATTAGAAGTTCCTCTAACAAAAAGTATATTTACTAAGTGTCTTTAAGAGACCATTCAACTATTGAATTATCAAAATTATGAATTCATGCCGTGCCATCAAGCATATGATGAGACGGTCCATCTTATAGGTTGTTGGTAGTTGCATGATTCAGCTCTAGCACAAGGCAATTCAGAATGGTATCGAAAGATGTGAAAAAAGTTCACAGTGATTTGTCCAGTGATTTCTTTCTTCACACATATATAGCTATTTTGTTAGAAATGGATGGGTAAAAAGTAGTTATCCTATTAATAATGCTTTTAATAATGAGGTAAGTGTAGATGGGCGTCTGAGTCTTTTTTTAACCCTATACTCTCAATATTTTCGAAATCAAAATTACATATTGTTTTAATTATTTCCAAATGTCCTAATGCCTAGATTCAATTCCAACTTTTGAACAGGAACTTCAGTAATAGCTTTAGTTGTAAGTATTTTATGGGGACTCTACCAAGGAGACAGCAGGACTAATGAGCTATTTTAGCAATCCAGAAGAAAAAAACTCATGCAAATTTTTAAATTTCTGAACACAGTGCTTAATGAGTTCATTGGATTCAAAATGCCAATCCTGCTATGCACAATTCCATAATTTATTAGAAGCCCTGTAACCATGGAAAAGAAGGACTAGATTGCTTATTCATGCATTGCTTCAATATGCACTTCACAAGGCCTGTTTGCTTTTGTAGGGCTGTCAAATGCATAAACTGGAGGGAGGAGAGCAATGCACTTCTTGTACAGGAAGAGTCCAGTGATGACACTTCAGACAGATGACTGTGTACAGTGATATACCCATCATATACTGAGACTCCTGAAGAATACAGACTAACTGCACCATCGGTGCTTGATTAATAGTCAATATTACATATCCTTCCTTTCTCATAAACCCGACAATCGGAGAAATAGCACCTGGCTTTCGCTTTGAGCACTTTGTGCTCACCATGCACTCTATTTCCAACACAAGGAAGAACAATCTTCAAAACACTTTGCACTTTTGGACTTACAAAGAAACCACAACTAAAAAGTGGAAGGAGGGATTAAGAAACTGACATGGTCAAAAGCAATAATTTCGCTGACATACTCTCGTCTCTCATGCTGAAATCAAGGAGAAGATTTTTACCTCAGTTTCTTCACTGTCAAAACAGATTTCTGACCTGTCTCAGGGATTTTGAAGGTACAATGAAAAACTATATTGAGTAACTCAATGATATGAAAATAATGGTGTAAGTTATAAATATTTATCATTTTGTCTACTCCTGAGTATTACTTTGTTTCATGGAGCCCATCAAGGTACAAGCAATAGACAAAGCCTTTAATAGTACAAGATCCTTAAAAGAGAAGCACTTTAAAGCATAATCATGCCACACAGGGGTCACTGGGGAAACATGAGACTATAGATAAAACTGTCCTAAATAAATTTAAAATCTGAGTAAACTGCTCATTGTGGACAAAACCCCCTAATTATATTCATTCCTTAAGTCAGTAGAAGGACATTCATATTCCATAAACCCTGGCTGAGAATTCACTTCTAACCTTTCTTACCCACTTCTTGCTCATCCTCCCCACTGCACTGAGAAAGGCATTCTAAAATGGGTTTTGCACTCTACAAATTAGAATTCTTCAGTAGCTGTCTAGAAAATGACCAAAGAAGTAAACTACCACAGTTTGACCCCTTTCTATTTCATAGTGAAATGTTCATTCTGGGCTCTACCATAATCCAGGAAACACCATGCTCTCTCAAACCTCCATGGTTTGTGGGTACTTTTTGGCAGGGGTGGGGGGAGGGGATACTAAGGATTGGACCCAGAGGCACTTAACCACTGAGGCACATCCCCAGTCCTTTTATTTTTTATTTTGAGACAAATTCTAATTTGCTTAGGACTTTTCCAAGTTACTGAGGCAAACTTCAAAACTGCCTTAGCCTCGCAAGTTGCTGGGATTACAAGTAGGCACCTTAATGCCTGGCTCCATAGGTTTTTTTGTTTTTTTGATACTAGGATCTGAACCCAGGGGAACTATACCACTGAGCTATATCCCCAGCTTTTTTATTTTATTGTGGTGCTGGGGATTGAACCCAGGGCCTTGTGCATGTGAGAGCTTTTTAATTTTTTAAGACAGGGCTCACTAAATTGCTGAGGCTGACCTTGAAGCTGTGATACTTCTGTCTCAGCCTCCCAAGACACTGGAATTACAGGCATGTACCACTGGCACTGGTGCCCCCGTGTCTTTTTACAGTTTTATTCTGTCTTAGCAACAATATTGCTTCCTTTGTAGTCAGTGTTCTTGATATTTGGCAATAATCCTCAAGTCCCTGCAGGACTCCCATGCCTTTTGTATATACAGTACCTCCATCCTAGTGTTTTCTACTGTCTTGTAATTCTTCCTCCTATTGGACAATCATCTCCTTGAGGACCGGAACACTCTGATTACTTACAATAATAATGCTTAATAAATTTGTGGGGCCAAACTATATGACTATAAAATTTTATTTGTATTTGTAAAAATCATTTAAAACTATATATTTAATGTCCTGTGAGAATAACCACTGATATCATGCCATAGTCATTAAACCAACCTTGCAAAAAATTGCAATATATTCTAGGGTAGTTGATTTATACTATTTTCATAGATACTTCAATAACTTCAATTTTCTAAGTTGTCATTATAAAAACACAAATGTATTGAAGTGCCATTAGTTGGTCAACTTCTTGTAATCTTCTAAAAGCAAATACAGTCTTCTGTTTGATAGTACTGGTGAGGAAATGTTTTTAGTTTTTAACTGTAAGGTAGTCAATGATTGCTTGACCAGCAAATGGTACTTATGATTTAATATACTAGAAATTCTAATTTCCAAGGCCATTCCTTTTAGGTTTAGCTAATGTCTTCCAGGCTGAGGGCCCATGTAATAACTGATGATTCTCAGATTGATTGATTTTTGTTTTTCATCCTGTTCAATACTCTTTTCAAACCAAAATAAAAAGTAGATTGTGGTTTACCAAGTGCTTTCTCTATACTTTAGTATCTTGGTACCCCTGTAAAATAGATCTTCATTTTCTTCATTTTACAGATGAAGTCAAGGCTCAGGGAGATTTGGCTTGGATGGTCATTTAGCTAACCATACTGCAGTGTAATGTACACGAATGGACTGGACACTACTGAGGTTCTCCATAGCTAGGGTGTGCACAGAAAAGATTATAATCCAAAAACAAGGGACTGTACCATGTACAGTATGAAGTGCCCAAAACACATGAAAACACATCAGTACTCCCAGTATTCAGCTACACAGCTTACAATTATTGCTTTTTTGAGGTTAGGCAAAATGGTCGATAAAGTACCTTCTAGCTCAGTGTTCATGATTTTACATATTTCATCTGAACTGAAGAGAGCACAGATTGGTATTAATATAGTTAAGGATTAATAGGTAATATCCCAGTTGAGCAAACACTCTTGGGTATTTTGAGGGACTGAATTGAAGTATCTCAGGGCAAAAATAGAGCAGGAATGAGCATACCCATCTCTAAAGTGTCTACTCTAAGAGATAATTACTAAATGTGATGCTAAAGAGATGGAGGAAAATATTCAAGACAGAAGCAAACCAAAACAGCTATCATCTAATCTCTATAATGTAACCCGATTATCTAAAAAAAGAATATTAAGGAATAATTAGTCTTTATGAAGTACAGATAAAAGGAAACCGGAGATGCTAGAATGTGTACTGTATCACTAAATAACTGCTATATCACTAAGTTATCTCCTGATTACTCATTCAATATCCACAAATCTGGGTAATAAGAAAAAGATGTCCTTAGTTCAACATTCTTCTAAAGAAATGCCTGCATATCAGAAAGAAAAAAATGTCCTGGCCTTATGCCAGATTCAAATTCATCAACTACAATGGCGTCTTAGAATCTATTTTTTAAAAACTCCCCAGGTGACTGATACACATTCCATCTGGGAACTACTGCCTGGATAACTGTTTTCAACCCTAAATGCACATTAGAATAATCAGTGTGATTATAATACAAAGCCTATTCTAGGTCAATGTTTCTGAATCTTGCCTGCCAACTCAAATTACCTGGGGATCATTTAATACTTCCAATGCCCTGGTCTCAGCCCAAACCAACTAAATCAGAATTTCTGGGATTGAAATCTAAATAGATTTTTTTTTTCTTCCCTTTCTCCAGGTGATTCCAAAATGTGGCCAGGATTGAAAATCACTACTCTAGGTGAGGGGTCAGCAAACTGTCTCTGTAAAAGGTCAAAGTGTAGATATTTTAGGCTTTGTGGGCCACACAGTCTGTCATGCTACCTAACTCCACATTATATCACAAGGCAACTGAAGACAGACATAAATAAATGGGCACAACTACAGCTATGCTCCAATAAAATCTTATTTACTGAACAAGCAACAAGCTGAATTTGTTGACATAGTCTACCTACTGGAAAGGTATCTTTATTATAAACACTGCCACTATGGGATGCATACAATAATATAAACATAAAATATAACAGTGGCACTTTTAATATAGTGCCCAGTTTGGTTGGGGTTCAAAGTCAGTCTCATTTGCCTTACTTAAGAGAGAGACTAGTTCTGGTTATACCAAAAGAAGGAAACTGGTTGACCTATGTAGCCTCAAATCATTGCTTAGGAAATGCTTTGTCAGGGAGGATAGATAGCTGGAGTGTGACTGAGATGGGGCCTAGCCCAATTGGTTTCATTGCCAAATATTTAAGGAACAAATAAATCAATTCTACACAAAATTTTCCAGAAAGTAGAAGCAGGAAATGCTTCCCAACCCATTATATGAGGTCATTATTATTCTGATGCAAAATCAGACAAAGAAACTATAAGAAAACTCTTGAACATAACAAATTCACAACAAAACATTAATAACTGAACTATGGGGTTTAAGCAGACAACTCAATCTAGTTCAACATTTGAAAATGTCATATTGTAATACGTGGTATTAATAGGGGGGAAAAAAACACATGATCATATACAAGGATATAGAAAATATTGAACAAAATTCAAAGTCCACTCATGATAAAAATTCTCAAGAAACTAGGAATCAAGCTGATAAAAGCCACCAAAAAATATTTAAAGCAAATAATAACTTATAATAAAATAGTGGCTGCTTCCCCCCCAAGACTGGGAATACAGCAAGGAAATTCAATCTCACGACTCCAATTCAGCACAATCCTAGAAATCCCAATAATAAAACAAGAGAACGAAATAAATGGCAAGTAAATTGGGAAGGAAAAAGTAAAATTGTTATCTGCATATAACAGAAAGTACTAAAGAATCAATTTTAAATTTAAAAAGAAATCACTATAATTAATAAGTTAATTTAGAAAAGTCATAGAATATAAAGCCATTATACAAAAAATTCTTATATTTCAATATGCTACCAACAAATGACTGAAAAAAATTAATAAAGCAAATCATTTAACAACAGCATCAAAAACAAAATCAGAATAAATTTAATAAAACACGTACAAGACCTGTACTGAAAACTACAAAACATTGCTGAGAGAGATCAAAGAAGACCTAAATAAATGGAAAGATATAATATGTTCATGGATTAGAAACACAACATTGTTAAGATATCTAAATTTATATAAAACTCCTAGAAGAAAATATACAAGAAAATCTTTGTAACCTTCTGTTAGAAAACACATTTAGATAGAACTCCAAAAGCAAAAAATACAAATACATACAAATAGATTAGATTTTATCTAAATTAAAACTTCTGCTTTTGAAATACACCATTAAAAAATGAAAAGGCAAGCCAAGATTCCAGAAATATTTGCAATAATAATATATCTGACAAATGTTTTATACTGACAATTATAGATGACTTTTGACTCAATGAGACAAACCAACCAATTTAAAAAGTAGAACAGATGGGACTGAATGTAAAACAAGTCAAAAAAAAAAAAGTCATACTCAACAACTCAACAACACAGGTAAATTTTAAAAACCTTATACAAAGCAAAAGAAACCAGAGATTGACTAAGTAAATAATACTGTATGGTTCTACTTTTATGAAATCTGTTAAAACAAATAACCACCAGCATCAAAAAACAGATGAAGGGTTACCTAGGGCTCAAAGTAGGAGAGACAGGGATAAAAAAGGATAGGAAAGAATTCTGGAAAGATGAAAACATTCTTACTTTAATTGTTATGGTAATTAAATAATTGTGTGTACATTTGTCAAAACACAGATAACTGTATAATTTGAGTACACATTTTTATATAAATTATACCTCATAAAGTTAAATTTAAAGACTATATTGGTACTTTGGGGAAAGAAAGGTAGCAAGTAAAGGGAGAACTTACATAAGCAAATGACTCAACATTCCTGTCTGTCAAAGTTTGATTTATATCTTCTCTCTTATATCAGTGGTCCTCAAAGAAGATCCTTGGGTTATTAGCATCACTATTGCCCAAAAACTTATTAGAAATGCAAATTCTTAGGCTTCATCTCAACCACAAACTCTAGGTATAAGGCTCAGAAGTCTGTTTTGAAAAGCCTTCTTGTGATTCTGTACACTCAAAAGTTTGAGAATCACTGTCTGCCATAATGCTAAGGACCTCCGACATCTCAGCTTCATTTATCATGTACCTTTGTTGAATCTAATTCTGCAAATGATTAAGACGATAACCATATTCTTCAGTTATTTGAATCTAGAATTATCTTATGTAAGGCAGCATGCTGATATACTAAAAGTGCACTCATAATCTTATTTCCTTCATGTGTTCCTGAATTTATTGTAACTAGAAATTGGCAAAGACCTCAAATTATTTCTATAAGTTAGATTTCTCTGGATTTGACTTCCAGGAAGAATGCTGCACTCTTGGCTATGGGTTTGGAAACAAAAAAGACCATGGCAGAGGGGAATTGACTTTCTCTGGTAAATGGACTTCTTTGGGGGAAGGAACATTCTCCTTCTAAGTGAAGAAATTACTTCCTCAGTCCTATTCCCACTTAATTCTTGGCATACTTCAAATCCTAATCAATGCTCCAGTTTTCACAGAATAGATCTAATGGGACAGTGAATTCACCAGCTGTGCTAACTGGGGAGACTCAGATCTTGTTTTCTACTGAGTATTATATCTGTAATAAATGAGGATGCTGTAGCTTGATATAGGAACTCAAACATGTTATTTATTTGCTTTAACCCTCATCCTACTAATGCTGTTAGAAGCAGCCACCCTGGAATACTGACTTTTTCTTAGTCTGGTTGCCCAGAATCTTACTATAAAATGAGCCTATGATTTCCTGGAACCAGATAGGACACCTATTTTTCAATTGCCTTCCAAAAGCAGCTAGATTTCCTACCTAGAGTCACGATTAAAACCTGTCAGTCTGATAACTAATCTACCAATGTCTCTGGGGACTTGTTCCCTAAAATACCAGCTGCCTGATACCATTACTCATTCAGAGACCTCCAAGTGCAAGCAATAAAATGCACTTTTCTATGTATAAAGGAATTTACTATAAAGATACTAGAGGGTCACCACTTTGGTAGCAAACCAAGCAGAGGCTAAAAAATAATCAGGAATCAAAGGAGGTTCACAAATAGAGCAGCAGAAACCACAATGATGTGGCATGAGAGCACACTGTGCAGTAATGAGACACCTACCTTACTGGTCTCCTTTTCCTGGACTCAGGAATCCCAGTCCTAGTGAGATAGAAAAGGCTAGGGAAGGGACAAAAAGGTCAACAAGTGGGGAAACATGGGACAGCCATTTTAACATGCCCTACATGTTATAAAACAGTTCTTGTTTCTCAGAAAGGGTGTGTCTATCTCACCAAAAACAACTACATAATTCATAATCCAGCTGTGCCCACCATGGGATAATTGAAGTATCAAAAACCAATCAAAAAGAGCTTATTAACTTCTCCCAACATGCCTTTAAAAGGGGGAGCACTATAAACCTTAAAACGTGCTGTACCAGAAGTTTTGAATATCTCACTTTCCTTTTTAATAAAATTCCTGCTTGCTTACTTACCTCAGCGGCATTGGAGGTGTTCATTTTTCAACTCCATGGAGCAAGAACCCAATACTGACTCGTGTAAGTAACACTAAGAGAGGAGTTTGTCTGACTAGGTCACAGTCTACCCACTGCAGGGCCCAGGAGCACAGAGGAAGGCTAACCTGCCCTCTTCCGCCTGGAGAAGGATGCAGGCACTGTCAAGACCACACATAAAGGAGTTTTAGCAATTTTCCTTTAGAAAAATTTAGGGTACTGTCCAGAATTAGGGTGGACCTACAAAGTAAAGACCACAAATGAGTTCTATAATGTGGAGATGAAATAGAGGGTAAAGGACTCTCGTGGCTCACCTTGCCTATCTTTTCCCTAGAGCTAAATCTTGGAGGTATTCAGTTTTTGTTTTTTAAAGGGAAGAGAAAAAGAGAAAGCCTCTTAAGATAGGCCTAGTTCCTAAAATTGTCATTTGTTCTGTGATCTTTTAATCTTTGTAAAAACAAACAAGCAAACTATTATGGTTTGGATGTGAGGTGTCCCCCCAAAAGTTCATGTCTGAGGCAATGCAAGAAGCTTGAGAGGAGAAATGATTGGGTTATGAGAGCCTTAACCCAATCAGTGGATTAATCTCCTGATGTGATTAACAAATGGTATCTGAAGGTAGGTAGGAGGTGAGTTCCTGGGAGTGTGACTTTGGGGTATATATTTTGTATCTGATGAGTGGAGTCTCTCTGCTTTCTGATCATGTGATCCACTTCCCTCCACCATACTCATCAAGGCCATATACTTCCACCATGATGTTCATTCGGGCTCACCTGGAGCCCTTAGGAATGGAGCCAGCTGCCTGAGACCTCTGAAACTGAGCTCCCAAATAAACTTTTCCTCCTCTAATGGTTCTTGTCAGGTCTTTTAGTCACAGCAGCAAAAAAAAAAAAAAAGCTGACTAAAACACAAATAAAATAAAGCAATATAAAACACTAAATAATGTATACCCTTCATACTGACACTGTTAACAAAAAAAAATTAGTCACTATTACAGAATAGCCCAATTTTTATTACTGCATGAAAATAAATTTTGTATTTTGAAAATTGTTAAGAATTTGTGTGTGCATAGGGGAGAATATCGGGGATTGAACCCAAGAGCACTAAACCAGTGAGTCACATCCCCAGTCCTTTTTGTTTTTTGAGACAGGAAATTGCTAAGCTGCTTAGGACCAAAGTTGCTAAGGTTGGCTTTGAACTTGCAATCCTGCCTCAGGAAAAATTGCTAGCAATAAAAAAATAATAAAGTATATTTTTCCTGCCTTTCCTACATGACTTTATCCCTAGGTAAGCAAATAGTACGTAACAGGAAAATTAAAGAAGTATTCTGGCAGAAAAGATAGATTTAGAATCACTGTTTTGCAAGCCCATTTGGATCTATATGTTGTAAGATGTCAACAGCCACCAATATCACAAAATGAGAGATGGGTAGGTATTAGGTATCTTAGGGAAGAACACACGGCCAAATGAAGTGATGTTTCCAAAAATAATGAATCTGAACCTAATCAAGCCTATAGATTCAACTAGCAATTTATAGGAACTACAGAAGAAAGGAACAAGTTCAACTGTATCACAAAGATACAAACAGCAAAATCTATACTGTCAAAAGTCCTACAACTTGGTGTCTTCAACAACTAGCATGAAGTGAAAGAGAACCACAAAATCCAATCATAATGTGTGGCTGTTGCTCAGAACCTGATGCAAACAAAACAGCCTTATTAGACCATGAGAAATTTGGACACTGGGTATTTGACTCTAAGGAATTACTGTTAATTTAGGTATAATAGTTTTGTGGTTATGTTAATGTTATAAATTGAAATATTTCCTGTAGAAATGATGTCTAGAATTTCTTTCAAAATACCTTTGAGGGGGAAAATGGGTGAAAAAAATGTGGATGGAGTAAGATTAACCCTGAGTATATTATTGAAGCTAGATGACGGGGAGATAGGATTATAGTACATATTTTTATTTACTTTTAGATAATTGAAAATTTTCATTTTAAGTATTAAAAGACCAAATGTGTACTATTTATTTCGTGTGCCTTATCAGTTTCCTCTGTCATCCCTAAAACTACAATACTATGGTGCCTTTGAAACTGTGTACAGAATGGAGCAAAAGTCACAGCCTGCTTGACCAGGTCTCTGCAGTCTCTCATGATCTGGCAGAACATCAGTAGTTAAGGTCAGCCCTGGTTCCCCTAAGATCAAAATAGATATTTTTTTGGTTACAACACCCTTGACAACTAATTAAGGTAACTAAAATATCTCGATAAAATATAATATTCTGTAAAATAACAATAATGCTAAAATTAAATTTAGCACTTGAACACCATTAAAATTTTCTTTTTAAAGCATTACTGTTCATTGTAATGATTAGGTTTAGTGCATCAAAAGGGTATTGAGAGAAACAGATTTTAAACATTAAATAAGAATCCATGAATATAGAAAGATACTTCAGAAAGAATATGGAAAACTTTGCTTTACAAAAAACTTGTCAGCCAATACGAGAAGAAATAATAAAATATCAGGATTTTGCCTCTGTGTCAAAGTTCTGGGGGAACTAATTAGAACAACAACAAATAGTTCTTGGGGAAAAGAATATCTAACTATTACTCCACAGATTATTTACTAATTACAAAAGGAAAACTATTTTTATAATGGAAAGCTGATAGCCATCACCTGTTAAATTCACTATCATCAAGTGGGACTTGTGATGTGATGCAGTAAGAGTATTTACTTACTGCTGCCTTTGTGGACTTGCTGCCAAAAATGTTTATCCTGAATCTATACATGAGGAAGTAAGACAATACATTAACAACTGGTAAATCAACATGAAGGTTATGTGGGTGTTCTTTCAGAATTAATACAGTTGATGAAAAAAACTCATTTAGGTTTTACAAGATTTCTATGTAGCACAGAAAACAAACAAAAAGTGTGATATATGTCTTGGTGGTAAAATTAATTCATCTTTCCAAAAATAAATAAGTGCAGACAAAGTTAAACAGAATTCTACCTGATCATCCACTGACCCAAAGCCATATCCCCTAAGTGACCTTTATTTTGTCACAGCCATGAACAATATAGCTTTTTCCTGTCTCCATTAGGTCATGACACCAGAAAGAAGTAAAAGGACAAAGTACAGCTGACAGAGCACGTCTACTGGCTCAGAAATAATTTAAGATCTGGACGTAAACTCTAAACTTTCAAAACTTGATCCTTCATTTTTAGAAGTTTTAAAGTCCCTTATACTTTTTGACTTGGGGTGGGAGGGGAAAACCTAGGGAAATTCTATTTGAAAAACTAACAGTATGCTCTCATTCTTTAAGGATCTATAATAAGACAAAAGCATTTATTACACAGAAAGAAATGAATTTAAATTTCAAAATCATGAACTAAACACAATGAAGAATAGCAGCATTTTTTGGTTTTCCTTTATTAAAAAACAGCAAGTCAAAACTTGTTTATATTTCATGTATCTGAAAAAAACACTTATCCAGTTGTAGATTTAAGATATATCACAGAATTGTTTCATCTTTCCTAATAATGTTTTCAGATCATATTCTACATTTTTTAATATCTGCATTCAAATAATAATAAAATGAAGAACAGTAGGCTAAATATTTGTTCATCCTACTAAAAAGGGTAACATCCACAGCCAAGGGCAAAATTAATAAAGAGTAATAAAGCCTATTATTTATATTTTGTACAGAGGCAAGAATGCAGAGGTGGTATTGGTCAAAGAGCCATACGATGCTGTGCCATTAATTCTCAATACATGCCAACCCCTCAATACTTCCAGATGGTAAAACCTATCAACTTCTTTGTTCTCATATGGATTAAAACAATTTTAAGGGAAATACTAAACTAATTCTCCAAGAAAAATCATAACATCTAAAAGAAAAAAATACTTAATTGAAAAGTTTGAAGGTAACTTGGAGGGACCTGCAATTGCCTTTGAAGGAATCCAAATAATTTCTCAATGTAGACTGCAGATTAAGAAACACTAGAAAACTTCTCAATGGCTCATACTAGTAAGAAAGGAAAGCAAGTAAAAAAAATAGAAAGCAAGTACCCTGAAGAGTGTCTCAAAAATATGCTTCTTAGGATCCACTCTAGTCTAGTCCTCTTAGAATTTGTGAAATCCAAATCCTGACATCAAAATTTCTTCAAGATTCCTAGCTGTTACATGCATTCAGGAATGAGAATCACTGACATAAAAATAAAGAAGGTAAAAGAGGAAAAGGAGAGAAGAAGCAAAAAGATCATCGGAAAGTAAGCACTATCCAAGAGTACCACTTCCTAAATTTAAAACTTCAGATTTTCCATTCAAACTATCTCATTAATTTCATATGCCCTCTACTGGTCAGGAGGGGAATGAATATTATTTCTACAACAAGGGAACAGAAATCTCCAACTTGTAGATAAAAGTAAGCATATCTAGAAAAAATTAGTGAATCTTTGTTGTTTCTATAATTTCATTGTTTATAAATACAGCAATTGGCAAAGACAATTTTAAATTTATCTCAATAGCCAGAGCAAGAGAGATTTCTTTAAATGTACCATCTGATTTATCTCAAGTTTTGCCAACCTTGGCACTACTAACATTTTCAACTAAATAAATTTTGGTTGCAGAGAGTAAACAGTAGATGCAGAAAATTCTAGAATATTCACTGGTAATTTTTTTTTTAAAGACATAGAAGACTACTGTTTTAATAAAAATTGAGTTTTAAAGTCATTTCCCTGGTGTCTTCAGTTTGTTACATGATCATAAATTAATGCCCTGTGCATTCTAGGATAGCTGTGTTCCCGGCTCCTACCCACTAGATGCCAGTAGCAACTCACCTAAAGTTGTGAGACCACAAATGTCTCTAAATATTGATGAATGTTTTAAATCAATGATTATTTAAAAGATTTTCTGAAAAAAAAACTAATCAAAACATTTTAGAATTAGTGAAAAATGACCCATGCACTAATGTTCTAAAAATCTTTAATTTTTATATAGCAGGTTCATAAAGAATACTTTATAAGAAGAGTAATCATGGTGAAAATTGCTTAAAAAATTATTATGAA